ATTATCAGAGATTTCTTTGAATTCCAAGAACCAAAAGAAAAGAAATGAGGACCAAAAACTCTCCCAGTCTTTGCAGATTGGCTCTCTGTTTGATCATTTCTTCAGTGTTTATTCAGTCTGTGTACAACTTTGCCTTAGCCTTTTCTTTCTGCTTGTGCTGAGACTGAAGATCAGCCTGAGGTGAAAGCTTTAGGGGTCTTCTCTTAACTGTCCTTCCTCGGGCATCAATATGGCTTTCCTCTTCTCCAGTATATAAAGGTGGTTTTCAATGCTTTAATTCCCCAAAGAAACTTTCTCCCCATCATTTTCTCTTTAGCTTTCAGCATGTCTGTTTTGGGCCTCAACTTTAGAACTTTTGCCCCAGGTGGCAGCACATTGGTCATTTGCCTTACAACATTTTGGAGGAATTACCTCTATGAAGCTGCTTTTCTGCTCTGAGAAAGTTCCAAATTTGGTGAAACATAGGCATGTTCTTGCAACAATTCTTCTGTCAGTTTCCAGTCAGGTCAAAAGAGACAAAAATCAGTTCCTTGAGATTAAGGTTGGCTCTCTTCACTCCAGAGCCATGAACCAGAGTTTCACATTGGGAATACCAGCTGCCATCTCTAAGCCCTTCATGAGCAGAGAGGAACGTAGAAATGCTGCCAATTTTTCCTACCATTTTAAAATTGTCTTTTTCCTGACTCAACAATTGCTTGGTTGTTGCATATCTTTGACTGTTTTCCAGAGTTCTCATGAAGTTGATTCTGACAGTTTTTACTCAGTTTTTCTTGTTGCTGTATAGGGATATTCCATTTTCACTGATGTCACTCTTCCTTTACTTCTGTAATCATGGTTTATTCTAGTTCTTTGATCATATTTATAATGACTGCTTTGAAGATTTTGTTAAATCTCACATCTGGGTCTTCTCACAGGCAGTGTTTGTTGCCTTCCTTTTTTCTTGCCCAAGGATTACACTTTCCTGTTTCTTTGCATATCTCATAATCTTTTTGTTAAAAACTGGACATTTTAGGTAATATAGGAGATCTGGATTCTGATTCTTTTTGGGGATTTTAAAATTATCCATCTGTTACTGATTTTTTTGTTTGTTTAATTTTCTATGGTCATAGTGTATACTCTGTATAATTTCAATCCTTTGAAATTTTTTGAGACTTTCATTGTTACTTAGGTTATCAACTGTCTTGTTTAATATTTCACATGCATTTAAAAATGGTGTGTATTCTGCACTTGCTAGGTGTAGTGTTCTCTAAATTTGAATTGGTTAGTTTTTAAATTTTATGTCCTTTTATTTTTATTTTTTTGTCTTTTCTCAGTTTCTGAGAGATTTTGAATGTGTTTCTCCTTCTGGTTCTATGTTTTTTTGCTTCATGTATTTTGTAGCCATGTTATTAGTTGTACACACATTTAATATTATTATGTCTTCCTGTTGAACTGACCCTCTTATCACTGTGAAGTGTTCCTTTTTATCACAACTAATGCTTCTTCCTAAAGTTTATTTCATCTGATGCTAATGTTGACTCATCACGTTTGTTTTGGTTTGTGTTTGCGTCGTATATCATTTTCTTACTTTTTAGCTTCAGCCTATCTGTGTCTCACATTTAATGTATCTCTTGTAAATAACACAAAGGTTTTTTTTATAATCCAGACTGATAGAGTATGCATTTTAATTGGCTCATTTACATTTATGTAATATAATCAGTAACTACTGATGTATTTGTGTTTAAATTTATTATCTTGTTTGTTTTCTGTTTATCTGCCTTCATTTTGTTTTCCTTTTCTACGTTTTTTAGGTTGATCAAGTATATTTCGTTTCTTTACTTCATCTCTTCTATTGGATTTTTTGTACTAGTTTTGGTATTTTTCTGTTGGTGGCTACCCTAGATATTATAATGTACATTTTTGGCTTATTACAGTCTTAAATTAGTATGTTATTTTTCAAACAGTTCAAGAACTTTATAACAGTTTAACTCCTTCTTTTCACATTTGGTGCTATTGATATAGTATATTTTACTTTTGTATACATCATAAACACACAGGGCACTTATATTATTATTGCTTTAAATAGTCATTGTTCTTTTATCTTTACCCTTTCCCATGTTCTTCATTTTTCCTACAGTTCCATGCTTTCATCTGTCATTATTTTCCTTCAGTTTAAAGAACTGCTTTTAATATTTCTGGTATTGCAGATCTGCTGGTGACAAATTCCTTCAGCTCTTGTTTATCTTTACTCCTCTTGAGCCTCTTGATAAATTTTTTACCTCTGTTAAAGGAAACCAGAGCCAAACGAAAGTTAAAGTGGAAAAGATGGACTTTATTTAAACAACTATTGTAGTAGGGGAAGCTACTCCAGTAGAGGAGTGGGCTTAATTCTAGATACAGTCTGAACAAGTGGGAATTTATAGCCAAGGAGCAAGTAGGGTGGGGGCATTGGTGAATGGAACATTACTAGAGGAGACATCAAAGTCTGGGAATATTTTTGGCTGAACCAACCTAACAGAGGATTCTTGCTGAGCAGGCCAAGGTGATCATCTACCACCTGGGGGATGGTAGGGGTGAAGAATTTGATCAGATATCAAAGGTGGCGAATTCTTGCTAAAAGGACTTAAGCAGGATTCCTGCTTAAACTGGATTCTACAAGGAAATACATGGTTGGGGCTTGTTAGGGAGAGGGTTCAGAGGAGCCTGACTAAAATTTGGTCAAGCGAAGAATCTTTGTCACTGCTCTGTACTTTTGTGTTTTCTTGTTGTCTTTACTGCCATTGCACTTAATTCCTTGAATTGTAATTCTCTAATGGCTTCTCTGTGTCATCTACTACACTGTGAGATCCTTAGAGTTAGGCACTATTTTCATTTTTGTATTTTCCATACCTATCTTGTGAATATTATAGAATAGGGACTCTGTTAATATTAGTGGAATGATGACTAGTCTTGGTCTAGAATGATACAGAATTGAATCACAATTCTGGTAATGGCTTGAAAAAGAAGAAACATTTGAACTAATTAATACTATTTTATTAATAAATAAAAATAAGAATAATTTGGACTTGGTGTGTAGGGAAAGAAAGGGAGTTAAAAATGACTTTGAGGTTTCTTTGAGGTCCAATCTATTCAATATAATGTATATCTCAAACACAGTATCACTGCCTTTTCTTCCTTCCTAAGACAGTCCAATTAACATGAACTAGTAAGAAAAACATGAAATAAGTATTAATATATAATTGACATTTTGGAATAAGGTAGTGTGACTAAACATGACTATAAGCACTGTCTTCTGCTTTTTTTTTTTTTTTTTTTGGTACGCGGGCCTCTCACTGCCGTGGCCTCTCCCGTTGCGGAGCACAGGCTCCGGACGCGCAAGGCTCAGCGGCCATGGCTCACGGGCCTAGCCGCTTCGCAGCATGTGGGATCTTCCTGGACCGGGGCACGAACCCGTGTCCCCTGCATCGGCAGGTGGACTCTCAACCACTGCACCACCAGGGAAGCCCATTGAATCCATTTTTTAAAGTAATGTAGATTTTCAGAAATTGTCCAGTTGTCTACATTTTCAAATTTACTGCCAAAATTTATTCTAACACTTTTTGTCTTTATAACATATACTTGTAATTATACTTTAAAAAATTCTTAATGTTTATCTATGCGTCCTTTTTTTTTTTTTTTTCTTGATCAGGCTGGACAAAGGCTTATTTATTTTGTTAGTAATTACATATAATCAGATTTTACTTTGTTCTCTTTATTGAATCTTTATTCTCTGTTAACTTCTACTCTATCATGTCCTTCTTTCATCTGTCTTTGGGATTAGTCTGTTGTTTTCTAAGGTATTGAGTTAGATAATTTAGGTCATTATCTGTGATTTTCTAATATAAGCAGGTTAAAGCTACAATTTTCCCTCTTGAGTATCACTTTAGTTATATTCCATCATTTAATACATGGTATTGGTCATCATTCATTATAAGTGCTTTTTAATTTCTGTTATAATTTCTCCTATGACCTGTGCGATATTTAGAAGTATTTGTAAATTCAAAAATGATGCAAGGATACAGTTTCAAAGTTGTTACTGAATAATTTTTTATATATAACTAGTTGAAATTGTTACATATTTATGAGTAGACAGTTACGTTAATAACTTAAATAAAAAATTTAAATCATCATTGTCAGTGTATCAGGTTGGTGTCATTTTGCCTACAGTGGAAAAGAATGAAAACATCAGTAGAGTAAACATACTTTCTGTGAGGCTTATGTTTACAAATATATAGGATTAAAAAATTTTTCCTTAGTATTCATTTCTGATTTAATTGAAGCGTGATTAGAAAACATGGTATGTATGATCATTCTCTGGTATTTTTGGAGACTTGTTTTTAGTCTCCATATGATTGGTATTTATTTGGGTGAATGTACGTGTGAATGTTCTGTATGTGCTTGGAAATAATATGCGTTATTTAATTGTGTGACTTAGGTGTTCTGTATGTTTTTTTAAAAGTCCACTGTCCTTCAGCCTTTTGTTAATGTACCTCCTAAAATATCTTTGAAAACAATTCTTGCATTTTAAGTTGATGTTTAAAGTATTTCATTGTAAGTTTAAATAGTGCAGAGGATATAATGACTGGTATATTGTGTAAAACTTGACATTTAAAAATAAAACTGTTTCACTGTTCTCTTTAAAGCATCTGATGACTCCTAAATATTTTAGTTATTTGGTACCCTCATGATTATTTAAAACACACGTAACTTTGTATCAACCTTACTGTACAGGACAACTAAAAAACTAGATAAAATATATTTTATAATGTGCTTGAAAGAATCGTAGCAATCAAATTTTAAAATATAGGGGAAAATATATTTAATTAAGAATTCAGTTGTAAGTCGTGTTGAACGAGAAGATTTTGACTGCTACTGCATTTTGTGCTGATTTTAAGTGTTGTTACTTCAGCCCCATTGCAGATTATAGATGTTATGTAAATGTACTTCACTATCTAATAATTTTTTTTCTGCTTCTTTCCTAGGAGTCACACCTGTGTATCATAGTATGTTTGCTTTAATGAATGAAACAGAAAGGATCTGGTATCCACCCAACCACGTCTTCCATATAGATGAATCAACCAGGCACAATGTACTCTACAGAGTCAGGTACTTTCTCCAGTAAAGTGACTAATTAACTTAATAGTAAAAGGGCAAAGTGGGAGAAATTATCAACCATATTTTTAAATTGCAAGGTCTTTAATATCAGAGACCAGAACCAATTAGCATCTAATCTTCTTCAATTAAGACTCTCTTTCCCCACTAGAGAAAGTGTTCATACATGTTCTTCAACTAGAATGCTCTGAGAATAAAGCTGTCCTGGTGAGATGCTACTTTACCACTTAAGATTATAGTTAAATTTTGAACAGGGCAAGAATGGCCTTTACTAGCAAAATCCTAAATGTTTGGAATATTGATAGTTTCCCAGGAAATTTGATGTTTTGTTCAATAATATGTAATCTCACATTTTTTCTTTTTAATAACTTTTTTTTTAAGTTGAAGTGAAGGAAAGGTAAGATTTTGCCAGTGATTATTTACAACCTCAAATTATAAGTTACTTTATTGGATAATCTTTGGTAATATGTAGTACCAATTTAGAGAAATCCAGAGGTACTTTTCCATTCAAAAGGATGAAACAAATAAGTTTGCTCTGGTTCTTACTTATGAAATAGATCCATTCCATACAGAGTCAGTGTTGCATAGTAAAAAAGAAAATGGACTCATTCATGTTTTTAAAAAGAAAAAAGGAGACCGTAATAAACTAAGACTTAAGAGAGGCATCCTTACCACGACAAAGGATATCTGCAAAAAACATGTGGCAAATAATATTCTTAAATGGTAAAATGTTAGAAGCATTCTCTTTAAAATCAGGAACAAGATGTATAGAAAACAAAGATAGCCGTGATCACTGCTTGTATGTAGGATTTTGGTGGAGCTCCTAACCAGTATAGTAAGACAGGAAAAATAAATAAAATATTTCATAATTGAGAACAAAAAAGCAAAAAGTCATTATTTGGGGATGATATGATTGTTAACATAGAAAATATGAACAAATCTACAGGCATCAATAATAATCATTCAGCAGAAGGCTAGATTTATGTGATCAGTATGTTAAAAAATTAACTATTTCCATACACCAAAAACAAACAGAAAGAGGTCACTTAAAATAATGACTAATAACAACAAAAAACATAAGGGACCTAGGATTAAATCTATTCAAAGTTATGTAAGAGTTATGCAGATTTTAAGACTTTTCAATTTGTGTTATTTAAAGAAGCAGGTAATATGCATATGTTTCACAAAATATCAGTATCTTATTAAGAATATTTTCTTTATCACTTTCTATAATTACTGTACTTTCTGCAATCAGCAAGTAGTATATCTTTTTATTTTAAAATGTTTGTAGAGCAGTGGTCTGCAGTCTTTTTCTATAAGAAGCCACATAGTAAATATTTTAGGCATTGCAGGCCATACTGTCTCTGTTGTAGTTATTCAACTCTATTATTATAGTGTGAAAGCAACCATAGACAGTAAGTAAATGAATGGCCGTGACTGTGTTCCAGTAAAACTTTATAAAAATTGGTAGTGGACCAGATTGGGCCTGTGAGCCATAGTTTGCTGACCTCTTCTTAAGAATTAAAAAATATGTCCCTTATCAAATTCATGACTTTCTTGTATTTTTAAACTAAGGGGGCACATATCCATTGCTACCTATAATCAAAAGTTACAAGGATAGTCTAACCAGAAACTACCCAAAAGGAGATTTTATATAATTAAAAAAAAAATTCCACCTGCCTTTTATTCAGAGGCTATTCTTCATTTCCTTTATTACATATTTATGGGTTATTTCAAAATCAACATAAAAGAGCAACAATTATAAAACTGTGTTGGAGGGCTTATAATGTATAAAGATGTAACTTTTATGACAAATATAGAATAAAGGGAATGGAACAGAGTTTCTGTATTTTATTGAAATTAAGTTGATATGAATAAGAACTAGATTGTTTAAGTTAAAATGTCTGTTGTAATCCTCTGGGAGACTCCTATGAAAATAACTCAAAAATATATAGTAAAAGGTAAAACAAGAGACTTAATGTATGTAATACACTAGAAAATATCTATAGCAATAATGGAGGAATATATGAACAAAAAATCGACAAAAAGCCTAATAGAAGCAAAATGACAGACATAATAAATACTTTATTAACAGTAATTGCCTTAAATGTAAACGAATTAAACACTCAGGTCAAAAGGCAGAGATTGGAGGACTGTATTAAAAAAAACATAAATTACATGCTGTCTATAAGAGGCACACTTTGCATTCAAAAACACAAATAACTTGAAAGTAAAGGATTGAAAAAGATAAAACAGGCATTCAGTAACTGACAGAGAGCTGGAGTAGCTGTATTAATTCAGACAAAATTGTCTTTAAGATATATATTGTTGCTAGAGACAGAGGAGGGACATTTTATAATTATCAAGGAGTTAATCTGTTAGGAAACATAATAACATTTGTTTAAAATTGTTATAAGTTGGATCCAACTACAGAGCTCCAAAATAAATGAAGCAGCAATGAAAGAATTAAAGGGAAAACTAGACAATTCAACAATAATAGTTGGAGACTTCAATACGTCACTTTCAGTAAGGGACAGAATAACTAGACAGAAGATCAGCAAGGAAATAGAAGACTTGACCAACACTGTAAACCAGCTAGACATACATATATAGAACACTGCACCCAACCACAGCACAATACACATTCTTTTCAAGTGCATATGGAATATTCTCCAGGATAGATCATATGTTAGTCCACAAAATGAATCTCAATAAATTTACAAAGATTGAAGTCATACAAAGTATGTTCTCTGACCACAGTGGAATTAAATTAGGGATCATTAACAGAAGGAGATCTGGAAAATTCACAAATACATGGTAATTAACAACACATTTCTAAATAACTGAGGGGTCAGAGAAGAAATCACAAAGGAAAATGGAAAATACTTTGATATGACTGAAAATGAAAACAGATCATATCAAAACTTACGGTATGCAGCTAAAACAATGCTTAAAGGAAATTCATAGCTATAAGTGCCTATATTAAAAAAGAAAAAAGTTCTCAAAGCTATTAACATTCCACTTTAACAAAGTAGAAAAAGAAGAGTAAATTAAATTCAAATCAAGTTGAAGGAAGGAAATAATAAAGATCAGAGTAGAAATAAATGAAATAGAGAATAGGAGGACAACAGAGAAAATCAAGAAACCAAAAGCTGGTTCTTTGAAAAGATCAACAATATCAGTAAACCTTTAGCTAGACTGACCAAGATAAAAAGAGAGAAGCTTAAATTATTAAAATCAGGAATAAAAGAGGTAACGTTACTGTGACCTTACAGAAATAAAAAGGATTATAAGGAACAACTGTATGCCAACAAACTACATAACCAAATGAAATGGACAAATGTTTAGAAAGACACAAACTGTAGAACTGACAAAGCAAGAAGTAGAATGTCTGAATAGACCTTAGCAAGTAAAGAAATGGAATTCAATTAGTAATTTAAAAAAACTTTCCTGGGCTTCCCTGGTGGTGCCGTGGTTGAGAGTCCACCTGCCGATGCAGGGGACACGGGTTCGTGCCCTGGTCTGGGAGGATCCCACATGCCGTGGAGCGGCTGGGCCCGTGAGCCATGCCTGCTGAGCCTGCGAGTCCGGAGCCTGTGCTCTGCAACGGGAGAGGCCACAACAGAGAGGGGCCCGCGTACCTCAAAAAAAACAAACAAAAACTTTTCCACAAAGGAAAGCCCAGGCCCAAGTGGCTTTACTGGTAATTCTATTAAACTTTTAAGGAAGAGTTGATACTAGTTATTCACAAAAAGTGAAAAGGAGGGAACACTTCCTAATTCATTCTGTGAGTTCACCATTACCCTGATACCAAATCCAGGCAGACATCTAAAAGAAAAGAAAGCTACAGACAAATATCCCTTATAAACATAGTTGTAAAAATCATCAAGAAAATACTAGCAAACAAAATTCAGCAATATATAAAAAGGATTAAATATTGACCAGGTGGACTTTACTCCAGGAAATACAAGGTTGCTTTAACATATGAAAATCAATCAATCAATATAATGTACCATATTAGTAGAATAAAGAATCAAATCTTATTATCATCTTAATAGAGACAGAGATAAACATTTGACAAAATCCAACATTCTATCTTGATCAAAATATTAAACATAATAAGGATGGAAGGGAACTTAGTCTGATAAAGGGCATCTGTGAAAAACCCAAAGCTAACCATATGCTTGATAGTGAAAGGCTGAATGCTTTCTTCCAAAGATCAGGAACAAGACACAAATATCTGCTCTCACCACTTCTGTTTAACACTGTACCATAGATTCTAGCCAGGGAAAATAGGCAAGAGAAAGAAATACAGGGCATCTATATTGGAAAAGAAGTGGTAAAACTCTCTGTTCACAGATGATATGATCTAGTATATGAAAAATCCTAAGGAATTAAGAAACTATTAGAACTAATAAATGAGCTCAGCCCAGTTACAGGATAGAAATACAAAATCAGTTGTATTTCTATATGCTAGCAATTAGAGAAGAAATGTGAAATTAAGAAAATTCCATTTACCATTGCATAAAAGAATACTTAGGTATAAACCTGACAAAAGAAGTGCACAGTTTGTGTACTGAGAGATATAAAATATTATTGAAAGAAATTAGAGAAACACCTAAATAAATGGAAAGATAATATAGGAAGACTTAATATTGTTAAGATGGCAATGTTCCCATAATTAATCTGTATATTCAATGCAATCTCCACTGAAATTCTAGCTATCTTTATTGCAGAAATTGAAAAATTCGTCATAAAATTCATAAAAAATCAAAGGGACTTGGAATAGCCCAAACAGTCTTGAAAAAGAACAAAGTTAGAAGATTCACACTTATTTCAAAACTTCATCCACAACCACAGTAATCAAGACAGTGTGGTGCTGACTTAAGGTTAGATAATAGATTAATGGAGTAAAATTGAAAGTCCAAAAATAATCTCTCATACTATGGTAATAGACTTTAGACAAGGGTGCCAAGACAATTCATGGGGAAAGAATAGTCTTTTCAACAAATGGTGCCGGGACAACTGAATATCCACATGTAAAGTAATGAATTTAGGCAACTCACACTTTACAAAAAGGTAACTTAAAATGGATCATAGACCTAAATCTAAGAGCTAAAACTATAAATTCTTAGGAGAAAACAGGATCATGTGTTTGTGTACTTAAATTAGGCAGTGATTTCAATATGGCACCAAAAACCTAAGCAACAAAAGAAAAATAGGTTAATTGGGATTCATCAAAGTATATGTTTGTGCATCAAAGGATACTGACAAAAATGTGAAAAGACAACCTATAGAATGGAAGAAAATGTTTGTAAATTATATATCTGACAGATGTCTTATATCCAGAATATATAAAGAACTCTTACAGTTCAGTACAGTGACAACTAACACAATTAAAATAGGGGCAAAGTTTTGAATAGCCCTTTCTCTAAACAAAACATACAACTGATAAATAAGCATGTGAAAAGATACTCAACATCTTTATTCATTAGAGAAATGTAAATCAAAACCACAATAGGATACCATTTTACCCACTAGGATGGCACGCATTAAAAAGATGGACGATAACACATTGTTATAAATTTGTCAAATTAGGGACTTCCCTGGTGGTCCAGTGGTTAAGACTCCATGTTGCCAATGCAGGGGGCACGGGTTCAATCCCTGGTTGTGGAACTAAGATCCCACGTGCTGCGCGATGTGGCCAAAAGATTAAAAAAAAAAAATTGTCAAATTACCTCTTATTAAGTGGAACATAGGGTGCCAGACGGTGAGCCACATTTCAACAACAGACTACAAGAGGAATTGAAGTAGAAAAAAGTTTATTACTTACAGGTTCTTGAGGAAGTACCCGCATGCCTTAAGGGGTCACATGGAGAGGTCAAGGCACAGTGCAGATAGAGAGAGTCAGGACCTGGAGCACGTGCCTTTATTAGGGTTTAAGTGTAGAGTGCCTTGAGGTTCCTGGACTAAGGCCAGACTGGTCAATTCAAAAGAGTTGGGTTTTGGTAAGCCACGTAGGGATCTTATTGAAGAGGTGCATAGGACTAGACACTGGGAGGCAGGGATGACTGTTGATCACAGAGGCTGTTGGGGAAGTCGTATAAGGAACTTACATTTGCTTGTGACTCTACAAGTTGTTCTCTAGGGCATGCGTTTGTGTGGGAGCTAATGTCAGTTTAAGGTCACTACAGGACTCTTGATGAAACAAAATGAATGCTGAGTCAGCAGCACCATAGAGTGACTTAGCTAAACTCTCCACCCAAGTGTTGGCAAGGATGTGACCTACTGGGACACTCATACATTGTTAGAAGTATAAAATAGCGCTGCTTTGAAAGACAGTTTGGCTACTCCTTTAAAAGATAAACATAGAATTATCATATGATTCAGCAGTGCCACCCTAGGTATATATGCAAGAGAAATGAAAACATACTTCCACAGGAAAGAAAACTTGTATATGATTATTCATAGCAACATTATTCATAATAGCAAAAAGATGGAAACAAACCAAATGGCCATGAAGTCATGAATGGTTAAGCAGAATGTGGTATATCCATACAATGGGAATTTAATTGGGCAATAAAAAGAAATGAAGTACTGATACTGCTATAAATGTGGATGATCCTTGAAAACATTATGCTAAGTGAAGGAAGGTAGAAAAAGCCACATATTATATGATTCCATTTATATAAAATATCCAGAATAGACAAATTTATAGAGGTAGACTAGTGGTAACTTAGGGCTGAGGAGTAGATAAGGGTGGCTTGGGTAGGGAATTTCTTTTATGGAAGATAAAGATGTTCTAAAGTTAGGTTGTGGTGATGTCTGTACAGTGCTTTGAATATACTAAAAACATTGAATTGTATACTTTAAATGAGTGAACTTTATGTGAATTATATCTCAGTAGAGCTGTAAATAAAAAAAGCAATATAGAATTTTTTTGTTTCTCTGAAAGACAAGTTTGTAACCTCCATTTTTTTTAACTGAAGTATAGTCGATTTACAATGTTGTGTTAGTTTCTTGTGTACAGTAAAGTGATTCAGTTATACATATTTATATATATTCTTTTTCATATTCTTTTCCATTATAGCTTATTACAGGATATTGAATATCCCTGTGCTATATAGTAGGACCTTGTTTATCCATTCTATATATAATAGTTTGCATCTGCTAACCCCAAACTCACAATCCAACCCTCCCCCACTCCCCTTCCCCTTTGGTGACCACAAGTCTGTTCTCTATGTCTGTGAGTCTGTTTCTGTTTCACAGATAAGTTCATTTGTGTCATATTTTAGATTCCACAGATAAGTGATATCATATGGTATTTGTCTTTCTCTTTCTGACTGGCTTTGCTTAATATGATAATCTCTAGGTCTGTCTGTGTAGCTGCAAATGGCATTATTTCATTCTTTTTTATGTAATCTCTGTTTCTTTAAAGAAGAAGCTATTATTTGTTTTCACACCAAATTAGCATTTTCAGATTCCTCTACTGATGTTCCTAGAATTACATTAAAAAATTTTTTTTGAATTTTATTTTATTTTTTTAATATAGCAGTTTCTTATTAATTATCTATTTTATACATATTAGTGTATATATGTCATTCCCAATCTCCCAATTCATCCCACCACTACCACCCCGCTGCTTTCCCCCCTGGTGTCCATACTAAAATTTTTTTTGTTAATGTTTTATTTCTACATTTCTCTATTTTCTATTATTTGCGTCTATGTTCTGTTCATGGAAGAAGGCAGAATATGGATTTTAAACTTATGTTTCTTGTATTTTCTGGCTGTATTATTACCATGGCTTTACCCATATTTCCTTTTGTCCTCACTTTGTATTTAAAACTGTTAGTTGTGTTTTCTGATTATGGGATAATACTTTTTGGTAGATCGGAAGTGGTTATATATATACAGTATGTTTATATTAGAACTGTTGGAGGCTGACTGATTGTTTTAATTGTCTTGTAGATTTTACTTTCCTTACTGGTATTGTAATGGCAGCAACAGAACCTATAGGCATGGAATATCTCGAGGTGCTGAAGCTCCTCTTCTTGATGACTTTGTCATGTCTTACCTTTTTGCTCAGGTATGTACATGTGTTAAATGATAAATATCTGGCCATGTAAATGTATCTCTTAATCAGAAAAATATTCACATATGGGAAAATTGATGTTCTGTCTGCATAGCAGGTGCAGAAAGGTAACAAAATTGAGTCTTTTATCACTAATTTTTAATCCCATGGTTTATGGATAATAGAATCTATCTTATAAAGATTCCTAGAATTGCCCCTTTTGAATTTTCTTTTTATTTTAGTGCTTTAGATCATTTTAAGGATTTCACAAGTTTAGACTGAGTTTTACAACATGATTCATGTAGACCTAAGTGGCTGGAATATAGGACAGTGAAATTTCTTTAGAGAAAAATTTTTTTTAATTCCTAAACAATTTCAGACTTAATTAGTGGGTTGTAAAATGTGAAGAAAGTAAGTAATTGCATAAAAAGTGAACTACAGTAGTTTGTGTAGCCCCTCATAGGAGGGTGGCTGGTTGTTGATACTTAGTCTGAGAACTGTGTTCCAGTTGTTTATTAATATTGTTAAATTTTTGTGGTGTTTTTGAACATTTTTAAATGCTTTTATTGCCTTGATTAGTGCTTTTGTGTAAAGATACACTCTTGATATCCCCAAGGTATCAGATCAAGGAGTTCTAAATCAGATCTGCTAATATCATGGGAAATAACCTCACAGATCCTCATAGCTCACATTTCTAACATGTGTAGTAGGGCTAGTTCAGTTTGTGAGCAACAAATTGAAAAATATTTCTCTTTTGCAATATGAGAGCAACCAACTTTTTTGTGTGTGAGGGGGTAAAATATACTTAATAAAATTTACTATTTTAACCTTTTTTTTTTTTTTGCGGTACACGGGCCTCTCACTGTTGTGGCCTCTCCCGTTGCGGAGCACAGGCTCCGGACGCGCAGGCTCAGCGGCCATGGCTCACGGGCCCAGCCGCTCCGCGGCATGTGGGATCTTCCCGGACCGGTGCACGAACCCGTGTCCCCTGCATCGGCAGGCAGACTCTCAACCACTGCGCCACCAGGGAAGCCCTATTTTAACCATTTTTAAGTGGTCAAATCAGTGGCATTAATTCAGTACCTTCATTTTTCTTTTTTCTTTTTATTTCGGTACGCATGCCTCTCACTGTTGTGGCCTCTCCCGTTGTGGAGCACAGGCTCCGGATGCGCAGGCTCAGCGGCCATGGCTCATGGGCCCAGCCGCTCCATGGCATGTGGGATCTTCCCGGACTGGGGCACGAACCCGTGTCCCCTGCATCGGCAGGCGGACTCTCAGCCACTGCGCCACCAGGGAAGCCCAGTACCTTCATATTGTTCTGCACCCATTACCACTATCCATCTCCAGAACATTTTTCATCTTCCTAAATTGAAACTTTATACCCATTAAAAATAACTCCTCATTCCCCTCTCCTCCTGACCCCTGGCAGCCACCTTTCTACTTTCTGTCTCTATGAATTTGCTTATTCCAGGTAGCTCATATAAGTGGAATTATACAGTATTTACTCTTTTGCGACTGGCTTATTTCTCTTACCATAATGTCTTCAGGATTCAACCATGTTGTAGCATGTGTCAGAATCTCCTTCCTTTTTAAGGCTGAATAATATTCTATTGTATGTACCACATTTTGTTTACCCATTCATCTCTTGTTGGATAGTTGGGTTGCTTCTACCTTTTGGCTTTTATGAATAACACTGCAACGAACATGGGTGTACAGATATCTCTCTGAGCTCTTACTTTCAATTCTTTTGGATATCTATCCAGAAGTGGGATTACTAGATGATATGGTAGTTGTATTTTTAATTTTTTTGAGGAACTGCCATACTGTTTTCCATAGCAGCAGCACCGTTTTACATTATTACCAGCAGCACACAGCATTCCACATCCTCACCAACACTTTCTGCTTTTCTGATGATGGCCATTCTGATAGGTGTGAAGTGGTATCTCGTTGTTTTTTTTTTTCTTTTTTTTTTTGCAGTACGCAGGCCTCTCACTGTTGTGGCCTCTCCTGTCGCGGAGCACAGGCTCCGGACGTGCAGGCTCAGCGGCCATGGCTCACGGGCCCAGTCGCTCCACGGCATGTGGGATCTTCCCGGACCGGGGCACGAACCTGTGTGCCCTGCATCGGCAGGCGGACTCTCAACCACTGCGCCACCAGGGAAGCCCTGCATGTATCTTTTTGAATTATAGTTTTTTCCAGATATATGCCAGGAGTGGGATTGCTGGATCATATGGCAACTCTGTTTTTAGTTTTGAGGTGCCTCCATACTGTTCTCCATAGTGGCTGCACCAACTTACATTCCCTCCAATAGTGTAGGAGGGTTCCCTTTTCTCCACATCCTCTCCAGCATTTGTTATTCGTAGACTTTTTAATGATAGCTATTCTGACAAGTGTGAGGTGGTATCTCGTAGTTTCGATTTGCATTTCTCTCACAATTAATGATGTGGAACATCTGTTCCTGTGCCTGTTGGCTATCTGTATGTCTTCTTTGGAGAAATGTCTATTTATATCTTCTGCCCATTTTTCAATTAGGTTATTTGTTTTGTTGTTATTGAATTGTATGAGCTATTTGTATATTTTGGAAATTAAGCCCTTGTTTGTCACATCATTTGCAGGTATTTTCTCCCATTCTGTAGATTGTCTTTTCATTGTGTTATGGTTTCCTTTGCTATGTAAAAGCTTGTAAGTTTGGACTAGGTCCCCGTTGTTCGGTTTTGCTTTTATTTCTATTGCCTTGGTAAACAGACCATTGGTATGATTTATGTCAGAGAATATTTTGCCTATGTTCTCTTCTAGGAGTTTTCTGGTATCATGTCTTATATTTAAGTCTTTAAGCCATTTTGAGTTTATTTGTGTATACAGTGTGAGGGTGTCTTCTAATTTCATTGATTTACATGCAGCAGTCCAACTTTCCCAACACCACTTGCTGAAGAGACTTTTTTCCATTGTATATTCTTGTCTCCTTTGTTGAAGATTAATTGACTGTAGGTGTGTGGGTTTACTTCTGGGCTCTATATTCTGTTCCACTGATCCATATGTCTGTTTTTGTACCAGTACCACACTGTTTTGATTACTGTAGCTTTTAATATTGTCTAAAGTCTGGGAGGGTTATGCCTCCTGCTTTGCTCTTTTTCCTCAGGATTGCTCTGGCAATTCTGGGTCTTTTATGGTTTCATACAAATTTTAGGATTATTTGGGAATTCCCTGATGGTCTAGTGGTTAGGACTTGGCACTTTCACTGCTGGGGCCCAGGTTCAATCCCTGGTCAGGAACTAAGAATCCTGCAGGCTGCACGGCACAGCCAAAACTAAAATATAAAAATTAGGATTATTAGTTCTAGTTCTGTGAAAAATGTCATGGGTAATTTGAAGGGACTGCATTAAATCTGTAGATTTCTTTGGGTAGTATGGCCATTTTAACAATATTAATTCTTCCAATCCAAGATCATGGGATATCTTTGTATTTCTTTGAATCATCTTCAGTTTCCTTTATTAATGTTTTATAGTTTTCAGCATATAAGTCTTTCACCTCCTTGATCAGCTTTATTCCTAATTATTTTATTTTTTTGGATGTGGTTTTAAAAGGGATGTTTTTTTAACGTTCCTTTTCTGATATTTCATTTTTAGTGTAAAGAAATGCAACCGTTCTGTATGTTAATTTTTTATTCTGCTACCTTGCTGAATTCGTTTATCAGTTCTAGTAGTTTTTGTGTGGAGTCTTTAGGGTTTTCTGCATCTAGTGTCATGTCACCTGCATATAATGACAGTTTTATGTGTTGAGGTAATTTTTGTATGGTGTAAGGTAAGGGTCCATCTTCATTGTTTTGCATGTGGATATCCAGTTTTTTCAGCACCATTTGTTGAAAAGACTATCCTTTCTCTGTTGAATGGTCTTGTTGCTCTTGTCAAAAACCATTTGAAAACCAACCAACTTTTTACAGCTTCCTTTGTTTCAGTAGTCATTAAGAAAAGAGAGAGGGCTTCCCTGGTGGCTCAGTGGTTGGGAGTCTGCCTGCCGATGCAGGGGACATGGGTTCGTGCCCCGGTCCGGGAGGATCCCGCATGCCGCGGAGCGGCTGGGCCCGTGACCCATGGCCGCTGAGCCTGTGCGTCCAGAGCCTGTGCTCCACAACAGGAGAGGCCACGGTGGTGAGAGGCCCGTGTACCACATTTTAAAAAAAAAAGAAAGAAAGAAAAGAGACAGGCCTCTGAGAATAGTGTACTATGAAGTTATGACTTTATACTGCTTTTAGAATTATATTATTTCATCTATTCTGCAGATCTGGTTTATTTTGATGGAATGCTAGTTAAGTTCCATTAATAAGGCAAGTTTTCCTAAACTATTCATTGATCTACTTTACCCTAATATTAGTACTATGACATCTCATACTTCTTTTTCTTTTCTTTTTTTTTTAACATCTTTATTGGGGTATAATTGCTTTACAATGGTGTGTTAGTTTCTGCTTTATAACAAAGTGAATCAGTTATACATATACATATGTTCCCATATCTCTTCCCTCTTGCGTCTCACTCCCTCCCACCCTCCCTATCCCACCCCTCCAGGCGGTCACAAAGCACTGGGCCGATATCCCTGTGCCATGCGGCTACTTCCCACTAGCTATCTACTTTACGTTTGTTAGTGTGTATATGTCCATGACTCTCTCTCGCCCTGTCACAGCTCACCCTTCCCCCTCCCCATATCCTCAAGTCCGTTCTCCAGTAGGTCTGTGTCTTTATTCCTGTCTTACCCCTAGGTTCTTCATGACATTTCTTTTTTATTCTTAAATTCCATATATATGTGTTAGCATACAGTATTTGTCTTTTTCTTTCTGACTTACTTCACTCTGTATGACAGACTCTAGGTCTATCCACCTCATTACAAATAGCTCAATTTTGTTTCTTTTTATGACTGAGTAATATTCCATTGTATATATGTGCCACATCTTCTTTATCCATTCATCGGACGATGGGCACTTAGGTTGTTTCCATCTCCGGGCTATTGTAAATAGAGCTGCA